TGTCCTGCACAGAGCCCTGACCTCAACCCCACTGAACACCTTTGGGATGAACTGGAACACCGACTGCACCCCAGACCTCCTCACCAACATCAGCGCCTGATCTCACTAATGCTCTTGTAGCTGAATGAACACAAATCCCCACAGCCTCGCTCCAACATCTAGTGGAAAGCTTCCCAGAAGAGTGGAGCTCATTATAACACCAAACACAGGGGTAAATCTGGAATGAGATGTTCAATGAGCACAGATGGTCAGGTCTCCACAAACTTTTGTCTATATAGTGTATTAATCCTACTGTTTTTGCAATTCTTGTAAGTCAGATGTATTAAAATGTATTAAATTAAAACATAATTTTGCAGTAAAAGTTGTTCCTGTGCTGCTCTACTATTGACAGGTAATAATGTTTAGGCTATGGTTGTGTCCAGTCTGACAAGTAATCTGATTGGCCCGCTTTCTCTCGTATTTATCATACATGAGCTCTGATTGGATGTCCTGACATTACCTGTACAAACTGCGAGTTACATTTTTTTTTTAGAAAAGTGTGTGCAAATCATTATTGCCATAAATATTGTTAACAAAAATGTTTTAGATGTGGATACCAAAACAAGACTGCAGGGATCAATGAAATTAAGGTTTTTGAGGCTTGGTCCACAGCCTATAATAATTTCATCAGGTTTACTGTAGCTTGCATGTGTCGACTAAAACAGAATCGAAATCGATCAAAATACTGCAATATCAGAGGAAATTCATTCGAATTTGCTTGTGGATTTGCTGTGAATGGTCAGTAGAGACTCTTTGATGAATAACACTGCCTTATTATTATTGCTCCATAGTATTAAGCCCAAATGGCACATAACATCAGTTTTGTTGTGTGCCTGTCCCCGTGTGTAGATGTGATGGAGTGTCAAATCAATGCATTCAAAAGTTACTCAAGTTATTGTGAGATTAATGTCTACAGATTTAATACCAAAACGTTTTAAGCATATCTTGAGCAGCGAGCTATGCATATGCTGGACATCTTCAGGAACTGCCTGAAAGAACTTACACTTTTTTCCTGATAAAATCCAGCTAAATTAATTGGCATGCAGTCACTGTAGCCAGAATAGTGAGACTTTCCAACCAACGCTTGTTACACCATCATTCAAAAAAAACCTGCCTCTGGTCTTTACTGCACACATTCATTCCTCACTTCGAGTTTCACAGTTGGTCTTCTTTCATTTTAACTTGGAAGAGCATTAAAAACTTTATCCCTCTTTCTGTGTCTGAGGATGTTTACGAGAACTGCAAAAGAGAGATATTCTCAGAGAATTGGAAATCACTGTGGCCTGTGGGGATAGACCATCCACAGGCTACTGGCATGCTCGGACTATTGTGACTGGATCCATATCAAGCCTTTTCACATGGTCCAAACAGCCTCCTCTTTTACTAGGATGATAAATCTCAAACCCTCTATCCAGAATTCAGGCCATATCAGCTTTAATAGGTTGGCAGCCCGAGAGCTCAGTGGGGGTCTGCTTCACTGTGTGTCTCAGTATTGCTCTTACTGACTGACAGTTTCCTAAAGCCTCAAGAAGTGCACCTCTTGTACTGTATATAAACCTCTATGGACTCTGCATGGACCACACAGCTCTGCCTTACATATTATAGTATGTTAGCAGAGAAAGAGGATCAACTTTACACGAGGAAACACTCCAAAGAAAAGCATGTACTTGTACAAAATGACTTTCCTAATTCACCCTGGAGTAGCCTAAAATTACCTGTGGAATTGGCTGACTAATTTTTTAGAAGTAGACTAACATGAAAAAAATACCAAGGGCTATTGTTCTGCTTCCTGTGCCAGCTGTAAGGCCAGCTGTAAGCCACTCACCAAGAAGCCTGGCATTCATACCTAGCTCAAGTGTGTTTATACTGTATTTTATATCAGTATCTGATATACTGATAACTCAATATAAAGTTCTGTATGGGTTAAGAATGAATAGGAACCTTTTAATAAATACAACATTATAATACTAATGTGACGTGTTGTTTGAGTGATCGTTATGACTGAGCAACATCTTTATTATCTTCACTGCATTAAATCACACTGCAAAAAATGACAAATAAAAATATCTTGACTATCTATTATTTCCTATTATCCTATCTTCTTCTTCTTCTTTCAGCTTTTCCCTTCAGGGGTCGCCACAGTGAATCATCACTCTCCACCTATCCCTATCTTCTGCATCCTCAACACTTGCACCCACGAGCTTCATATCCTCATTTATTACCTCCATATACCTCCTCTTTGGCCTTCCTCTTCGCCTCCTGCCTGGCAGCTCCATGTCCAACATTCTCCTACCAATATACTCACTCTCCCTCCTCTGAACATGTCCAAACCATCTTACTCTGGCCTCCCTAACTTTGTCCCCCAAACGTCCAACATGAGCTGTCCCTCTGATGTCCTCGTTCCTAATCCTGTCCAACCTTGTCACTCCCAAAGAGAACCTCAACATCTTCAGCTCTGCTACCTCTAGCTCTGACTCCTATCTCTTCCTCAGTGCCACTGTCTCTAAACCATACAGCATGGCCGGTCTCACCACTGTCTTGTACACCTTCCCCTTGATTCTCGCTGATATCTTTCTATCACAGAGAACTCCCGACACCTTTCTCCACCCATTCCAACCTGCCTGCACTCGCTTCTTTACCTCTTTCCCACACTCTCCATTACTCTGGACTGTTGACCCCAAGTACTTAAACTCCTGTACCTTCTTCACCTCTTCACCCTGTTACTGTTCCACTTCCCTCCCTTTCATTCACACACATGTACTCAGTCTTACTACGACTGACTTTCATTCCTCTTCTCTCCAGCGCAAACCTCCACCTCTCCAGGTTTTCCTCCACTTGCTCCCTGCTCTCATACAGATCACAATGTCATCCGTAAACATCATTGTGCAAGGAGACTCCTGTCTGACCTCCTCTGACAATTGGTCCATCACCATAGCAAACAGGAAGGGGCTCAGAGCCGATCCCTGATGCAGTCCCTCCACTTTGAACTCCTCTGTCTGACCTACAGCACACATCACCACTGTCCTGCTCCTCACATACATGTCCTGCACCACTCTGACACACTTCTCTGCTACTCCTGACATCCTCATACAGTACCACAGCTCCTTTCTTGGTACCCTGTCATACGCTTTCTCCAAGTCTACAAACACACAGTGCAACTCCCTCTGACCATCCCTATACTTCTCCATCAAAATTCTCAGAGCAAAAATTGCATCTGTTGTGCTCTTTCTGGGCATGAAGCCATACTGCTGCTCACACATTTCCACTACCTTCCTTAACCTAGCTTCCACTACTCTTTCCCATAGCTTCATTGTATGGCTCATCAACTTTATTCCCCTATAGTTGCTGCAACTCTGCACGTCACCCTTATTCTTAAAGATCGGCACTAATACACTACGTCTCCATTCCTCAGGCATCTTCTCACTCTCTAAAACCCTGTTAAACAAACTAGTTAAAAATTCCACTGCTGCCTCTCCGAGACACTTCCAGACCTCCACCGGGATGTCGTCTGGACCAACTGCCTTTCCACTTTTCATCCTCTTCAAAGCCTTCCTGACTTCATCCTTTCTAATCTTATCTACTTTCTGTTCCACAGA